TCCACAAAATACCACGTGCGGGCACGCACGTACCGTGTGATTGAAACTTCGTGGCCCATGCGCAGAAGACGGTATTTTGTGGAAGAGCCACGCTCAAGGGGCCAAAGAGCCGCATGTGGCTCGCCAGCCGCAGTTTGCCGACCACTGACCTAGGAGGACAGTGAGAGGCGGCCCCTGGTGACACCACGAGGGCCTCTCCTGGTGTGAAAGCAGGGCGGAGGCTGCGATGGTGGGCGGCTGGGATGGATGGCTGGGCAACCCCCGCATCCGAGGCCTCAGGGCAAGAATGGAAAGCAGCCGAGGAGGCCACGCGGTTGCTGTGCAGGAGAAAGCCGGCGGGTGGAGCGGCGTGGAGGCTGTGGAGGCCGCGTCACCCTCCCTTGGCCCCGAGGTGTTTTCATAAGTGTCCACAGCCGGCCCCAAGCCAGGACGCCTGCAGCTCTGAAAACAGATCCCAGACTCTGGTCCCACCACTCACTCGGCCTGCCTTCCCGCCTGAGTTCTGAGATCCCCGAGCCTGACCTGCCCCGGACCTTGGCCTTCAGCCACATCAGGACCCACCCACTCACTTCTGCCTGCCTTCCCGCCTGGGGCCGTTACCGTGTTGTCCTCCCTCCGCACACACAACCAGCACTGATCGAGAGCCTTTTGTGTACCCGGCACAGGGGCAAGTGATGACACAGAGGCGATCAGACAGCCCAAGCTTTCAGCGTGGCTGAGCCGCGGGGGAAGCCAATGTGCACGAGGGAACCCGAGGACACAGCCCCACGGGAGGGAATTTACCAGATGTGCAGATGGACTCACAGGGTCCCGGCCATCAGAGTCCGGAGACGCAGAGCTGGTTCCCTGCGCCCAGGCCTCTGCCACACCTTGGCCGGCCCTTCCTCCCCGCGGAGTCCCCGGCAGCTCGACCGTGGTCCCTCACGTCCCACCCACCTCCCCGCAGCCACGGAGACACCGACGTTCACGTGGCTGTGGGTCACCTCGTCCCCCACGGTGCAAGGTTACCAGGGGAACGAGAGAAGTGACAGTGATCAGCAAGGAAAACAATTACTGGGCTGGGGGAGCTGATAATTGCCAAGTGATTGAAATTTGCGGAGAGCTGGGACCACGGAGCCGGCTAATTGCTCTTCTGACAAGGCGTGGGGAAAGGCACCCCGACCTGCACCCGGGGCAGTCGCTGCGGCTTGCCATCCCGGAGGCTAGCACCGGCCAAGAAGACAGACACCGAAATGCCCTGGCAGACTTCCCGGCAGCCTGTGCGAGGAGGAGCTGACTTCGCCGGGATGGGCACCTTCTGTCCTTCCTTCTGCCTCCTCCTGCCGCGTGGGAGGCGGAGGCGATGGCGGGAGCTCAGCAGCCCTCTCCGCCCATGAGGTGACTTGACAGTGAAAGCCTGGACGGAGGGCGGGGGAGAGCCCTGCTGAGTCGCTGTCCCAGGGGTACATGATCGGCCGATGTGCAGACATCTTTTATGTGAGAGAGAAACAAAAAAGTCACAGTTCTTGGGGTTTCGCCGTCATCATCGCTCTGAGCTGGGAAATCCCCTGTCGGGAGGCTGATGCTGCGGGTGCGAGCGATGCCCGGATCCACGCGGAACAAGCGTGATCCCTCGGGGAAGGGCTGAGGACGCTACAGAACAAGTGCAGGCCCGAGATCAGGAGCTTCCGATGAAATAGAGGACATCCGGTTGAACTTGAGCTTCAGATAAACCATGAATTTTTTAAAGTAAGATACGTGCCCCAATTGCAGACGCCGTTCTTGCACCGGAAGGGCTCTGTGGGGCCCCGCTGAGCTTCAGATGGGAAGGGGCCCCTGAACTGTTATTCGCTGAATCTGGCAACCCCAGCCCGGGGGCCCCACACATGCAGACAGATGGCGCCCCAGCTTTGAGAAAGGATGCGACGTGAAGAAAAACGCGGGGCGGCTGATCCGTGCCTTCCACCTGCGATGCTCCCCCTCCCCTGCCCGGGGTCCGCTGGGCGGGTGGGTGCGAGCACCCCGCGACCCCTGCGCCTTCCCTGGGGGCTCCAGCCCACACCAATCGCAGAGTGGACAATCACCACCCCCCCCGTTGCTCCTCCTTTGTGGCCTCTGTACCCCAGTTTTGCCTCCCCGAGATCAGCTGGGACACAGGGCTCAACCAATCAGAATCCTCCTTCTTCTGGCTACAGCCATTGGTTGGAGGCTGCCCTCATGTGACCCCAGTACATCCAATCAGAGTGGGTCTCGGAGTTTTTGCTGCAGAAGGAAGGGGATCTCACCTGGGAGGGTCTCACCTGGGGGGATCTCACCTGGGGGGTCTCACCTGGAGGAACCCCTCAGTCCTGAGACCCAGGGGCAGCCCGCCAGGCCCAGGTGCCCGGGGGACTGGCTGCCAGCCCTGCCCGTGTCAGTGCATCCCTCTGGCCGGAAGCCGCTGGTTCCCGTGTCTCCCACGCGTGGGACAACCGGCTGTGATGCAGCGCTCGGTGGCCGAACCCAAACTAAGCGCTGGGCACGGGGCTGCGGCACAGTGTGTACCCTCCTCACAGCTCAGAGATGCTCACAGCTGGTAAGCCGGTGAGGGATGAAATAATAATAACAATAATAATAGTAACAATAATAATGATAATACAGTAGTAAAGCAGCGAGCGCTTATTGGAGCAGGCGGAGCATCAGGGCCAAGGGTAAGATGTTTGCTATCCTGTTGGATCCTCACACCAACCAGGAGTGAGGTGCGTTCAGGTCCCGCTTCACAGATGAGGAGACCTTGTGGCGACATGGAGAGGCCCGAGGTGACGCTGGGGCGCCCCTGGGCAGTCTGTTCCCAAGCCTGCACCCTCCACCGTGAGCGAGCCGGGTCCTGTTTTGGGCACCAGGGCAGCTCAAGCAACAGCAGCTGCAGGCGCTGCTCCGGATGAAATGCAGGATGAAATGCAGGTGTTGCCTCTTCCAGGAAGGCTTCCTGGTTCCCACCCTCCTGCCTTCTGCCCCCGCCATGGCTCCTGCCCCTGTTCTCCCCGGAGGATGTAACTTGTGGACACCTGAGTCCTCCAGTGACCCCCAGTCCCTTTGTGCCTTGGCTGCTGGGAGGCTCAGGGGCACATTTCAGGCTCCCAATCTCACCTTCCTCTGGTCGCATCTCAATGCCTCAGCCCCACTTGCTTCTTGCCCCCATTCCCTCCTCTTTTCCTTTTATCCTACTGGGCAGCGCGCACGCATTGCAGGAACCACCCCCAAATCCCTTCACGGGGAGTGAGACAAAGCACAAAATAAGTAAATAGAAATGATAAAACTCTACCCACGGCTATGAACCCCATTGCATCGCTAATAGGAGCCATACATTTCCCCTGAGAGGCACTGAGACGGTGTGCCTGCCCCTCCCCGAATGTGAAATGCTGTTGGTGTTTAAAGGAACGAAGACTAAATCCCCCTGGCGTCTCCCTGCCCTCCCAGCCCCTCCTGCTGAGCTTTCTCTTAAGTAACCGCAGGAACCCACCGGGAAACGGGAAATGAGGTACTCATCCACCTGCCTCCTCCCAGCTCATTGCAGAGCCAGGAGATGCGAGGCAGCCAGGCCTCACTCCACGCCCGGCCTCTTCAGCTCACATTCAAGGCCCTAAGAGGTCTCAGGTGTGTGGGTCCCTTTCCGATGGCGGCCGTAATGAACTGCCACCCACTTAGTGGCTTAACACAGCCCCGATGTATCATCCGGAGGCTCCCCAGGGCAGACCTGCAGGGCGGGGCTCCCTGAGCTCACGGCGAGGTGGGGGCAGTGGGGGGTGTTCCTGTCCGAGGCTCCAGGGGAGGGTCCCTCTCCGGCCTTGTCCAGCTTCTAGAAAAGGCCTCGTTCTGTGGCTCACGTGGCCCCTCCTCCATCTTCCAAGAGCACCCCTGGCCCTGTCCTCACACCCGCGTCCTCCCACCTTGACCCTCTTACAGGGATCGCAGTGACCAGGGCGGGTTCACCTGGACGGGGCGGGTGACCTCCCCTCCAGGCCCGAGTCACACCTGCAGAGCCGCTTTGCCGTGTGGGGAGCACTCACAGGTTCTGGAGATTCAGGGGACATGATTCCACGACAGCCTGCGCTCCCCCCAAGCAGACCCCAAGGGAGGGCCTCGGGGACACAGGCGGCAGGTCCTCCCGCGGCGGCATTGGTGGGTGAGAGGCAGCCAGCGTGGGAAGACGGTTCCTCATGCAGAACCTGCAGGCGACCCTGGGAGGCGACCTCCGTTGGTTTGGGGGCGACTGGAAACAGTGCGGGGATGCCCCACACGTAACAAGTATCTGTGGTCAACCTGGAGGACTCGGCCTCACGTCGTAGGTCCCCTTCCAGGTCACACGTCCCTCCGGCAACGGGTCTCACTTCATCCCACAGCATCTACCCGGGCCAGGCCTCATGCTCACAGCGCTGCCCCAGAGCGAGGCCCGAGCAGGGGGCGAGCCCACACACGAACACTTTAAAAAGGTCCCAAGTGTCTGCCTCGGGAATGTTCCTGGAAAGCCAGGCCTCGTGAATGCCACCTCCCTTCCCAGACACCCAGGTTTAAAACTTTGTAACATTCGTATAAAAGTGATTGTTTTGCAAATTTCAGAAAGGATTGAAAATCACACACACACATGCACACACACACACACACACACGCACAATCATACTTCCACAAGCCCAAGATGATGACTGTAAGAAATTCCCATCATTCTGTGCAATTTCTTGCCTATGAAGATAGAGAGGACACACAGTTTTTAAAAAATAAAATTGGGATCATATCACACAAGTCTCTTTCACTTAATAATTTGGAAAATGTTTGCATGTTATTGACCAGGCTAGGTACATATATATTTTTAAATATATTTTTATTGACTGCAGAGAGAGGAAGGGAGAGGGAGGGAGGGAGATAGAAACATCAATGATGAGAAAGAATCACTGATCGGCTGCCTCCTGCACGCCCCACACTGGGGATGGAGCCCGCAACCTGGGCCTGTGCCCTGACCGGGAATCGAACCATGACCTCCTGGTTCCTGGGTTGAGGCTCAATCACTGAGCCACGCCGGCCGGGCTAGGCTGTTCCATTTCTGTTGGAGAGAGTAATTGAGTGTGTAAACAAAGCTGAGCTGGGCTGGCTTGTTCGTCTCCAGAAGCCTCATTTCTGACGGGACCCGTTAACCTGCCGCCGCCGCCGGTGCTGGTAAGAGGCACCAGCCAGGGGCACCGCCCGTGCGACTAGATGAGCGAGAAATGGCCGCCATCTTCCCGACGCGTCACAGCCGCGGGCAGGAGACGCTCACCCGCTCGGCGCCGGGGCCCAGCCTTCCTTCGGCTTCGCAACTCGGCCCATGTCTCCTAACAAGAGAAAACACCTTTTTAGTCAAAGAGAAGGAGAGGCCTCAAGAAATTTTAAAAAAATAATAAATTTTCGTGTTTCATAAGCTACAATTTTAAAGACAACTTATGCCAAAAGATTAAAGAATAACTTTATGAAATCGTTGTCAGTGTTAAGTCGTGCCCTCAGGGACTAACCCAAGAATGTATGACAAACAACTAGTTATGAGGTTTTCCATTGGTTTAAGAGGGGAATAACTGGCCCCAATTACACGGGCTGAGCTGCGGCTTTTTAGATGACTGAGACGCATTAAACTTTTTAAGCTGAGCATTTAGGTGAGCTGGAACCCCGTCTGGGGCTTCTAAGGCAACTCCCTCCGTCCTACGCTCCCTGGTTTTAGTCGTTCTATTAAAGATAACTTAAGTGCGATTAAGACCTTATTTGGTTTATTTACCTTTGGCAATGAAGACCGTTTAAGGGCCACACACATCCTTGGCCTTGGCGAGGGCGGCCCCATTTAGTCAATGTCTTTAAAAGCGTGGGCTTTATGGCTTCCGGCACGGGGCGAGGAGCGCATTAAGGCACCAAAATTCTCATAAAAAAAATCCAAAGTGGCGCTAGTGAGAAAACGCTCGACAAGATGAGAACGGATCGCATCCTTCCCCCGAAACTCAGGCGTTCGTTTAAAACCAGCTGTTTAAGCAAGCTTTGGTCCGGACACCCCCTGGACTCTGAGGCAGCGTTTAGGTCTACGGAGAGTGGCTCTAGGATGGCGCGTTTAGTTTTATGCCGTTTTTAAAGGAAGTCGTACGGTGTTTAGCGTGACCCTTCTATGAGGAGCGTCGTTAAGCGAGCGCTCTCCCTGTTTACAGCTATTTAGGAAGGCCTTTTTAAGTACGAAAGCATGAAACTGTTCGCTCACACACACAGGAAAATTTCTTTCAAAAGTTTATTTAGTATCAAGCAAGAGGAAAGTTTGCTTAACACTACAGAACATTTCAAGACTGGAGTTACAAAAAGAATACCACATTATTTGCACTTGTAATTGGCTTCCCTTTTTACGCGAGGGAAAAAAAAAACTGGCATATGGCTGAAAGATAAAATAACTAACCTCTATGGAAACCTTTAAAATGAAAGGTGAGGCGTATGTTAAAGGATGGATTAACACGTTTAGTAAACCTATTTTTTTTGTTTAACACTAGTTAATCAAAGTTGTGTGTGTTTTTTTTCCTTTTGATGACCTATTTTTTTTTTTTTCATATACAGGTTGGAAATAACAAAATTTTACATGTCTTTTTTATTTTTTTTTCTCTTTCTTCCCAGGTTGATGTTTCCACAAAGTAGTTTTAAGTTCCATCCATTCAGATTTTTAGGCATTTTGATTTATTTTAAAAAGGGGATTGTTCATAGAAAAAAATTACTTTGAACAGTTTACAGGACGGGTGGAGATGGGCTATTTCACAACATCAGAAAGTCAGTACAATCAGTAGCGGCCGTATGGCTGGTCTCGGTAGACGCCCTTCGCTGTCCGCGCCGAGGGAGCCTTGTGTCTCGAGTTAGTCCACTCCTCTTGCCCTGGAACCAGTACAGATGGATCACAATTAGACCACCGGCCGGTCCCGCGGGCCTTGTTCTGCGGGGTCTAACTCGGCCCTGAACCTACCGCGATGTCATACTACAGATACACAGCCCTGACGCACCCAGAGAAACACCCACGGGAATTCACCGAGAAAAAAAAATGACAAACACAGTGCGAGACGGTCATTTCGTCGCCGAAACCCGTCGTGGCAACTGACTTCGCAGGAACCTTCCCCTGGGGAAAGGGTGGCTTAGATTTTTTTCTAACAAAGAAAACACAGGAAAAAAATCTGTGAAGTTGGCTCGGCCAGCGGCCAGCGCGGCTCAGCGGTTGAGTGTCCGCCTCTGAACCAGGAGGTCACGGTTCGATTCCCAGTCAGGGCACAGGCCCGGGTTGGGGGCTCGATCCCCAGTAGGGGGCGTGCAGGAGGCAGCCGATCAATGGTTCTCTCATCATTGATGCTTCTCTCTCTCTCTCTTCTTCTCTCTGAAATCAATAAAAACATATTTTAAAAAAAAACAAAAATTAAAAAAAGAAGACATGTGGAGGCAGAAGAACAACTGGAGAGGAACGTGGGGAGGGCGGACGAGGGCGGAGAAACGCCGCACTGCCCTTCGCGGGTCCTCTCGGAGGAAGGCCGAGTGAGAGCCGTGCTGGGTGCAGGTCTCACCGCGGTCACACTTCGTGACCGTGAGGGAAGTCAGTGGCATAACGCCACCTGTAACGCACGTGACACTGATCCATTAGTGACAAGGGCACCCATCGTCTTTCCGCCTGAAGTTACACACCGCTCAGCCGCAGGACCTCCGAGACCCCGGGTCTTCGACAGCAAGCCGTGACCCCTGCACCCCAGCAACCCCACGCCCCCTGGCCCGGAGACCAACTTAAAAAGCTGCCCAGGAGAAGGCTGGACACAAACATGCATCAGCGTCACCCCGCCCGCTAACTTGCATCCATCTAACTGCACGGCATTCAACAGACCAACGTGCTTCTCTCGAGTGGCTGCTCCGAATCATAAAAATAAAAAAGTGAAAATCCCAGGTGCAGTCATTGCGGCTGGGGGCGGGCGATGGGAGGAAGGCACTTCGACAGGAAACGCCTGGAAACGGCCTTGCAGGGGCGTCCACAGACGTCAGCACACCCACCACCCAGAGCCTGAGGTGCACCCGGGGGCCGGGCGCAGCCGTGACTGCAGCCTCGGTCCTCCGAGCCCCGAGCCCTGCCGATCATGACGCAGCCGCCGCCAATTCTTTCAATTAAACCGGTTGTCATTCCGCCTGCGGAGGCTGGGGCCTGGGTTCCCCCGGAGCCGGCGAGAGCGCCCACCTCCGCCCCGGCTCGGGGTCCTGTCACCCCTACAGAGTGGCTCCTCTGTGAGGTGCTCAGAGGCCTGGGGCTTGGGGGTGAACTGAACTATCAGGATGGGTGGGAAGGTCACTCCAGGGCTGTCCTCCCAAATGGTTTCATGTCCCTTTCCCGTCAAGAACAGAGACACTCCGGGAATCCCATCTGAACAGGGGCCGGGCGGCCAGCTGGGCCATGAGGGAGGAAACCAACCCAGGGCATCACCCAGACAGAACCCCCCCACCCCCCCAGTGCGAATCCACCTTCCCGCCGTCCTCCGCGAGGCTCCCTCCTCGCTGGATTTTACATCTCCCAGGATGTGAACACAGACAGGCAGGGGCTGGCGGCTGCGCACCGTCCTCCTGTCTGAATTCCCCTCAGGCCTCTGTCCACGGTTCCCGCGGCCTCGCACTCACCGTAGGAATCGTACGTCTCGTCGCTGAGCCCGTGGCCGTAGTCGTAGTAATCAGCGCCGCTGCAGGGAGGAGACAGAACAGGGGAGAGGTGAGCGCGGGCGGGTCCCTGTGGGTGGAAATCGCCCCCGGGAAGCAGTCCACGCGTAGAGACAGCCTGAAGGACGGGCTGGTGACAGAGAGCCCCTAACACGCAGGCCTCGGGCCTCAGGGTGACCAAGGCCCCCGACCTGAATACAGAACAAATGTGCCGACACCTTCGCCACAGCAGGAAGGCCTCCTGCAGACGGAAGCAAGGACTTCCCTTCCTCCGTGCGCCTCGCCCGCCGGCCAGCAGACTCAGCTGTGTGAGCTCAGGGACGTCCTCTATCCCCCGGCACCACAACTGGCCGGTTCCTCTGAGAAACTCAGCACTCTGCCCGGCCGGCGTGGCTCAGTGGTTGTGCGCCGACCCAGGAACCAAGAGGTCGCCGGTTCGATTCCCGGTCGGGGCTCAAGCCCAGGCCGCAGGCTTGGTCCCCAATGTGGGGCGTGCAGGAGGCAGCCGATGGATGATTCTCTCATCACTGACGTTTCTATCCTCTCTCCCTTTCCCTTCCTCTCTAAAATTCAATTAAAAACAACATTAAAAAACAAAGAAACTCAGCACCAAATTAAGAGAACCTGAGCCTTCTTTTCAAAGGCCAGAAGCCACGTCCTGATGGCCCGAGACAGACACAACCCTGGCTTCCTGGGAATTTATCTTCGTTGCACAAATAAGATGAGAGCAGCCTCTTCATCAAACTCAAAATGACGCCCTTCCCTGAGACAGGCCGAGCTGCTCGCCTGGGGCTGTGAGCGGTGCTTTCTCAGTCTCCTTCACACAAGGAGCCAGCAGTCAGGGCACCGGCACAGCTCAGCCTACAACAGCGGGTGCGGACTGCTCCCCCGTGAGCGGGAGGGTAGGGGGCGTCATGTGGCCCAGCCGCGGTTTGCTGATAAGACAATCTCCGTCCTGACAAAGGGAAAACTCTAAACTGACGTTTCCATCATTTCACCCGGCTTCTCATTATTTGCTGCGAGACTGTCATCACGCCACGCGCTGGGAGCAGCTGCGCCCCTCACGCCTGTCAGCCCCTCGGGACGGCTTCCCCAGCTTTCATTCCGGGGACCTCAGGGCCTGGTAACCAAGGACGTGTCCTATTTCCCACGGGCACGCTGAAGACCCAGCTGTGGCAAAGGGGAAGCACCACCATCTCCCCATCCAGGTTCGCAGCTTTTAATACTGATACCGGGCAAGAAAACGCAGCAGGCCCCATGCAGCCCACTCCATCACGAGGTCGAGGGCGCCCCCCCCCGCCCCCCCATAGGTCAAGAGCGGGCTTCTTGCCACGCGAGGCCGAGCCTCCTGCGTCTCCTGTCCTTCTCCGCGTCCCCCCTCCCGCCCCGTGTCCGGGGTCCGGAAGTCTACACTTTCAGCATAATTCCTGGCTCTCCCAGGGGTCCCGGGTCCCCCATCAGAGTCAGGAAATACGCCCAGAACTGGAGGAAAACGGGGCTACGGAGCAGACGGTGTCCCCGGGACTGTCCACGTCTCCCTGGGCCTCCTCCCTCCCTCCACAGGGTTCAAAACCAGGCCAAGGCCCCGCGTGCCCGATCGCCCGTCTCTGTGAACGGGGCCAGGAAGGACTCCTGGTTTGTATCCATGCATCCCCCCCTCCCCCCAACGACCTCTTTGAGCCTCTGCAGTTTCTACTTCACAGTCCCCGGCGCTGATCTCTGCAGGCTCCCGAAAGGCGGAGGGTCACACGGGCAAGTGCGGGCCCGAGCCTGTGCCTGACAGCCCGCCCGCCCCACGCCTGCTGCCCCCCCTTCCCCACCCCCCACCCCCGGCCCCTGTAGCCCAGGAGGCTGCAGTGCACCCTCAACCAGCAAGCCCAGCGCCCGTCGCTAACGCACTGGGCTCCTCCCTGTCCCGATGTGCACGGTAACTTGTGTTTTTCTTCCACGTCTCGATTTTTTTGTTCTTTGTAGCGAGTCTCTCTCCTCCCGTCACTCTCTCTGCTGCCCCAGCTGGGATGCTATCCGCCTGGGCCCCGCCCCGCCGTGCCTCAGTGTTCCTTGTTCAGAACGATCTCGGAGACCAGAGAGAGCTGGCCTCCCTCCTCATCTTAAGATCGAGTGGTGGCAGGTCGGCTTGGTGCCCACCCGGGTCACCAGAGGAGGACCCCGCACCCTGAGGC